GGTAGCAACAAATTTTGTAACTCCCTATACAAACCGTTACGATCAACGTCTTCATTTTCTTCATCTGTCAATGCCAGTTGAAGGTCCATACAATTAACAACTCATTTGGTGGTATATCTTTTAAATTTTTGAAATTATATAAAAAGCTAAAGAGCTCACAGTGTTCTTGAAGAAGCTGAAACCTTTCTGATACCGCATTTATTGCAACATCTAAAATTACATAATAAAATTCAATTTGGAATTTTTTTTGGGGATCTATAATATTTTCATCTTTAGCCTCATAATTAAAATTTCTTCAAGGAACCCTCTTGTTTTTTTATTTCTGCTTGTTTTGCAATTTTTCTTTTATAGTTATCCCAACCAGATAATTTTCTTTTCATTCCAAGTACGGACATCTGTTAATTTCAGACATATTTTTTTTAATTTCTTATATACATTCAGTGGGCGTATGTAATTTTATATTTTGAATTTCATTTTTCTTACCTTTGTTAAATCACTGACACTGAAAGAATTCACGTTATACTAATACAATGTTATTAAAAGAAAGCACAAATGAACGACAATCTAATTTTTGTTTGTTTCGTGTGCTTGTAAAGACAAGACTAAACTGTGACTAAACTTATTTTGCGAAAATTCGGGGACAGAAAATGTGTTTCTTCTCTAAAATAAAAAGTATACATTACCAAACAAAGATGACTACACATGAAGTGATTATTTATTAGTGCCTAATATATATTGGGTCTCGGTGTCTGACAGTCCGACTTCCGGTCTTGACGGCCAAGGCGCCAGGCTTTTACCCGCAGGTCGGTTTAAAGCATAAAGATATCGCATACATTTTAGGGAAGGCGTTTACTACCCGATTCCGAAATCTAGAAAAAAATGCATCTGTTTCAAATATTTTTAATAATTTGAAATTGAATTTAGCCACATTTGGCGCCTGTTTCACGTTGGCGCCTATGGCAAGTGCCTCCTCTGCCTCCCCTGTTAATCCGGCCCTGGATCAAACTGTCCCATATCGCATACATGCAAAACATCGAAAGCAATATTCCTTCTGATCCGAACCTTTTCTGGCAGTATATTAAGAGCTTTAAACAAGAAAATCTCATACCGAGTTCGATGACGTACAACAATAAAATTATAAACGGTCCTATAAACATCGTTAATTCATTTGCTGACTTTTTTCAGCAATCTTTTATCCCATCTGATCCCTCTGGTGCAATTTTCTCCTATCACTGTACCTTAGTTTTTAGAAAATTTTTCAGTGAAGAAGAGGTTCTCCAGATTCTGCAAAAGATGAAAAACAAAATGACATCTGGGCCCGACGGCATCCCGTCTTTTCTATTAAAGGATTGTGCAAGCGTCCTCGCTTTTCCATTAATGATTATCTTTAATCTTTCGATTAGCTCTGGAATATATCCTACCCTTTGGAAAGAGTCATACGTTTTTCCTGTCTTCAAAAAAGGAAACAAAAGCGAAATAGAAAATTATCGGCCCATAACGTTGCTGTGTAACTTTTCTAAAGCATTTGAAACATTATTACATAATGCTATTGTTCATCATATTAGAACATATATCACCCCATTACAGCATGGCTTCTTCAGAGGTAGATCTATTGAGACTAATCTTTGTTGTTTCACTCAATTTGTTGCAGAATCATTTGATACTGAAGCCCAGGTTGATTGTATTTATACCGATTTCTCAAAGGCATTTGACAGATTAGACCACTTTAAGCTACTAAATAAATTAAGCTCTTTCGGTATATCAAATGCATTTATCAAATTATTCAAATCCTATTTAATTGGTAGAACGCAAACTGTCACTCTTAGTGGTTTCCATTCGGATCAAATACATGTCACCTCGGGGGTTCCACAAGGGTCAATTCTTGGGCCTTTGTTTTTTATTATGTTCATTAATGATATAGTATCTAATCTGGATTCTCAATGTCTTTTATATGCTGATGACCTGAAAGTATTTAGAAAAATATCATCTATTTCAGACCACCTTAAACTTCAATCTGATTTAAGAAAAATTGAAGTAATGTGCCTCCAAGAAGGGCTTCCTCTAAATATTTCGAAGTGTGGTGTAATGACGTTCTCATTGAAACATAATAATAGCATTTATGTGTACCATGTAAGTAGCTCGGCGCTTCAACGGTTTGTCACAATTAAAGATTTGGGAATCATTTTTGATACAAAGTTATCATTTTCAGAACATTATGATTCAATAGTAGCATCAGCGCTCAGAGCTTTAGGATTCATAATTCGAAGCAGCAAGCATTTTCAGAACAACAAGACTCTCCTCTGTTTATATTTCGCATTTGTGAGATCAAAATTAGAATACGGTTGCACTATTTGGTCTCCCGGTTATAATACGCACTGCCTTAAAATAGAAAATTTACAACGCAAATTTTTAAAATTTCTCCACTTAAGAGCATTCGGTTTTTATCCGGATAGAGATTTTCCTCATGATACTCTGCTATCCATTTTCTCAGTTCAGAGGTTAGAAATGAGACGTGTTATTTTGTCTTTATTGTTTTCTCTTTAAGCTTGTAAATGGTAAAATTGATTCAGACGTATTATTGGGAAAATTGTCTTTCTTGGTACCTAGACTTAATACCAGAAATTCAGAATGTTTTTACGTTGAATTTCCAAGAATAAACGTACATATGTTTTCACCTATTGTCACTATGTGTCGTGACTATAATTTATACACAAATCATTTTGACCTATTCAACAGCAATATCCGCCAAATTAAAAGTTTGCGTTTATAATTTTGAATTAGATTTTCTCTCTTTTTTTTTCTTAATTCTTTCCCATCCTTATAAATGGTTTATCTGTTAGGATGGCTAAATAAATAATAATAATATGAAGTGGTTCAGCCTGTCAAACGCTTTTGAAAAGTCGGTAAAAATAACATCCACCTGACTTTCAGCGTTAAGAGACTCAGCAACAAATTGAGTGAAGGACCAGAGATTTGTGTCAGTTGATCGCCCCTTATAAAATCCATGCCGGAAGGACGAGATATAAGGTCGACAGTAGTTAGAAATTATGTCGTATAGAAGAATTTCATAAACCTTCGAAAAATTACAGATGAGAGTAATATGTCTATACTTCTCGATTACGTTCTGTCACCATTTTTAAATATAGGACGAATAACCGATATTTTCCAAAGTGAAAGATAAATACTGAGCTTGAGAGACAAGTTAAACAAAATAGTTAATGGATATGCAAAGGCATTAGCGCAATCATTTAAAATAATGGCCGGAACTCCGTCTGGACCTGAAGTGAATTTGGATTTTATTTTTTGTAAGGCCTTAAAGACGTCTTCTTCTTCAAATTTACTAATGCACAATACGGATGAAGAAGTAACTGTGGATAGTGGAGAAGACTGGAACTGAACATAAGATTGTTGAAAATGGTCAGCGAATGAGTTCACAATAGATTTTAAATCTGTAAGTTCGTCACCTTTATAACTCATGATTCGGGGAATACTATTTTCATTTCATAAGAGACGAATATGAGACCAAAATTTAGAAGTATTTTTACCAATGTTATATTCAATATTTTTAATGTAGTCTGAGTAGGCAGTACGAATATCATATTTGACCTGAGCTCTCAAAGATTTAAATTCGTTATATAAATGCGGTTGGCGATTTTGTTTATATTTATTCCAAGATTTCCATTTCAGTTTTAATTTTCTTATAATATCGTTAGTAAACCATAGCGGATATTTGAATGTAGAAGGTTTACTGACATATTTAGGAACAGTGAGCTCAAAGATCATGTATAGTTTATTATAAAATAATTGACAAGCATCATCAACATTGTCACATCTTTCCAGTATTGACCAATTTTCAGTTAACAAAAGTTCATATAGAAAAGGAAAGTTAGCTTTACGAAAGTTATACATCTTGCAATTATTATTACTAAATTTATTTTTGTTCGATGGTGTACTCTATTTAAAACATATTTCAAGACTCGGATGATGACGGTCTTTAGGTAATAATAAATCATTAGCCCTAACTAAATCACACTTATTATTTGACATAACCAAGTCCAAAAAACGAGAGTTATCATTAGGAACATAATTAAATTGAATCAAGTCTCTCCTAAGATCATAATATCTCCAATAAGAGTGAGGAAGTAGGCACCAAGCAACTCTAAAAAGATTTCAACGTCTTTAGCACTAGTTCTTGGTGCAGGAGGAAGGTATATTGTCAATCTTGTCTTTGGTGAATGTTGTATCAGGAGTTTTTTAAATTTTTGAAAATATCTCAATTATTTATAGAAATTTCGCAAAGCTGTTATCACCATTAATTTATTTCAGCTTACAAAATTCTATAAATTACAGCGAAAACCCTATCGATCTTTTGTTGGATATGAGATAAGTAAAATCAACTTGTTGAACACAAACATGGTAATGTATTAAAAACACCCGCAGATACCGATCTTAAATTAAATTTAGTTGTAAATACTGTTCAGAGATTACTTTTGACATAAATAGAAAAAATATTATTCAGCAAAACAAATAAAATAGGTACTGGACCGTATGATTGCTTCGAACAGCTTAATTGCTTCCTGGTTCACACACTTTAAGACTAGAACAATAAACTTCCAGAGCTACCAATTAGTGACTAATTGAGATTATTCTGAACGGTCTTAGTATTTTTCCCAAACATGTAGTGTTATTTCTCCTGCTAGATAAATACACAGTTTATTCTGTAGTTCGATTTCAACATAGTTAAATCGTGTTCAAAAAAAATTTAAACCAAATGAATAGATACAACTCAGCACTCTGTATGTCACCCCAAAAATCGCGTCACGTCGTGATAACCGGTCAACCAGATCAGCATGATTTCATCGTCCACCTCCAACACCGGATGAACCTCTTCATCTAGACTCCCGGATGCAGAGTCACCTGGTTGCAAAGAACAACTGTAATGACGTCACAGCTCTCACCTAGAACACGGGAATGCCTCTTTCGAAAGTCGGTCAGTGTGCTGGGTATGAAACCCAAGACGGCAGTTCAGTTCGAGTATTGCTTGCGTTCGTACGACAGTTCTTGTGCAGTGCTCTCACACGCGCGTTACCGATCGAAGTGATTTGAGTGTGAACATTATATATGACATTCGAAAAGGATTCTTAAGGCGGTCGCTCCACTCAAATTGCAGTAAGTATTTTCAGATAATTTATTTTTAATTTAACATTAGTCTGTTTCGCCGGTTGCGCGATCTCGTTAAGCACTTTGTTGCTTTCACACTTAGAAATTTCTGTCGTTAGTTGATGACCTGATGAGTAATAGACGTTTGGAAAGTGGTTTAATTATTATCTGACGTGGTGTGAGACGAATCACCTTTTACAGAAGAAAATTGTTTTTTTTTTTTAAATATGTACTTAGCAAAAATGAGTTAATTAGCTATTAATTATTTGGAATACGTATTTTACTCGTGATGCTACCAGAATAGCGAACATAATGAAATGTAAAAGTTGACGCAGTCAGAAGTCATGCGGTTCTTGAATTGAATATTAGTAGCTTATTATGTTATTATTATCAGTGTTAATTGCTACGTAGAAGTGACAAAACACGAAGAAAATGTATTTTAGAAAATGTCAACTTGCTCTGACTAATTAACCATCGACTTTCTTCACGTTACCAAAAGAAAGTGTTTTTTCACACATCTTTAAAATATGTTTACCGTTTATTAATGTGGTGAAATATCTAAAATACTGTTTGTGCATTGAAAATAAAAATAAAAAAAGGTCATTTTACGGATGATGGTTTCAAAAAACTCGATTCTAAAATCCATTAATAATAAATTTTAACGCAATTATTGAAGAACAAAATGTCAGCTAAAATAATGTCATCCTGTCCTCTAAGGTCATTTAAAAAACAAGTGAGAGCATAATATTAAAAAAATGTTCAATATAAAACATAAAATTAAAATTCTTTAAAGTTTATGGCAAATTTCAAGGATCTATGATGATGCACCGTGTTCGAAACACATGACTGATTCCAACCTGTTTAGCGGTCGTTTATAATACAGCAAACTACGTTTCTGATATTGTGTATGTAGCTTTGTGTTTCACAGTCTGTATGATACAAAAATACACATTTACCCTTAAGTCTGCTTTAAGAAGTGCTGGTGATGTTTTGTGTAATGTACGATAACTAGGTAAACTTCAACTCCTGACTGATTCTTACAAGAACTTTTCAAAAAAATGCCCTGTTTTCAACCACCGAAACGTCTTGCGGTGCATGTGTTGCATTGTCCGTTGCAGAATAGCGGTTCACCTGCAACAATAACATTATTGCCAGTTCCTGCACCAGTCACGTTATGTGTGCTAAGACTTATATTATCAACGAATTAGGTAAAGCGGTTGTTGGACGTAAGACATGCAATTCAACTTGTAATACACAAACTCTATTATAATTATGCGACATCCACAATGTGTGGTGGCGCAAAAACCAGCAATTTCCAAATTCCGGTGAAATGTGGTATAATTTACCCACTCGAATGTTGTTGCGTAATAATTGTTCAAAAACCGTTGCCAGAACATAACAAAAAACATACACAACGTTATTGTCGGAAATTTACATTTAGCTTAACTGTTTTATTCTGCATAAATTTAGATAATCTCAAAAAAACTTGCGCTGAAATATTTAAAATCTGATATTTGATAGCTGGATTAAGTCGCGATGAATCTAAAGCTCTCAGCTTTTTATGGAGAAGTTTTATAGTTATGGGAAGTAGTTCAGAGTTGCGGTAATTCTTTATTATTATTTTTTAACGACAGCGTAGATGTAAATATAATACCCAACAATTTTTTCGCACAAAGAGGGAACAAGTGGAACAAAAAATTAAAATACTCATGAAATGAAGTTCGAATACCGTTATGGTTGCAAAGGATTTATATTGGTCTAATTGATTAAGTGTATGCAATTATTTTTATTACAGTTACGTATTTAATGGTGAAATACTATGTTTCTTGGTGTTCATATTCAGTTTTCAGTAAATAACGGTGATTTACTGCTATATACACGATAATAAGCGGAGGTGTTTTATATTATCTATTCTTTAATCAAAATGTAGAAGTAAGATTCAATCAGTGTCGGATTGTGTTGCCGGGACACCGGGACACAATAGGTCGCCCGTTTCCGTTTGTCTGTCTGTCTACCGTCTGTCCAAATGTTCATTAAACAGATAATCTCAACCAGTTGTAAATTTTATGTGTATTACACAAATTTGGCTAATCATCCCCACGAACAATTTGTTGACGTCATCTCCAAAATTTATAATAGTAAATATTATTTAAATTTTATAAAATAAGATACTCCTGCATGAACCCCTGTTGAATTTGTATCCTTGACATGCAGATTTTTGGAGAAAAAAATCAAAATAACAACATCTTGCAATTTAATTTTGAAACTGCTCTGAAATTTTGGAAATGCTTTAGGTTATCGTAAGCATGGTAAATCGTTAATCAATTTTTTTTTCGTTAATTTATCTTTACCAAATATAATGTTTGGTGATTCCAAAAGCATTGTCATCTGAATGACTCGGGTTTAAGGATTCGATTATCGGACGTTTTAGCTCTACTGAAATCAATAGAAAATAAAATGATACGTTTCACTTCACATTTTTTTTCATCTATTAAGCTTTTTTACCTATTTTTTCATCAATTTTAGGGTACTTTATCATGTTTTAAGCAAACCGTCCAATTTTGATGTTGAAGTTTTTTTATTGCTTTTTTATAAAATAAAAAAAAGTAAATTTTTGACGTGAAGTTTTTTTTGCATTTTTTGAATATTTCACCTCATGTATTTTTAAGGTTATTTTTTTAAAAAGTTGTGGATTTCTAAAAATTTTGCCCATGATTCCAGCGGTTTCATACAGAAACAGCTGACTTTAAGATTTGTATAAACAAAATTATGTCACCTGCCAAAATCAGTTATATCTTAGCAGGTACTAGCCCCACCCACCCGCCCTTTCGTTTCTTAGAGGGTATGTCATCTGCCAAAGTTAGTCTTATCTTAGCAGGTACTAGCCCCGCCCACCCACCCTCTCGTTTCTTAGAGGGTATGTCATCTGCCAAAATCCGTTTTTTCTTAATATAAGTATCGATTTTGCAATTAGGTTCCGCCCCTCGGTCTGACAACGAATGAAAATTTCATCACAATTGAGAATCGAGATCGGGGCGGGTATGGGTGGGGCTTCTCTTTGGCTTTATTTTTTTTTCTAAAGATATACAATATTTTTTTGACAACAGGATACTCAAAAACATGTTTTTTATGTCTGGTAGAAAAATAAGAATTTTACAATTAAGCTCCGCCCCTCGATTCACGATGAATAAAAAAATCATCAGAATTGAGATAGCGCGGGTGGGTGGGGCTTATATTTTGTATTATTTGTCTTAATATACATAGCCACCTTTTCACAACAAGTAACTTAATTGCCAAATCGATATGTTCTTATACAAATTTTCCATTTTAAACATGTTTTAAGTTTCATGTTGTGAAAAGAAATCTACACATATTAAAACGAAAAATCAAAGTGTTTTTTTTATTCGCTGAGAACCAAGAGCTTAACTGCAAAATACTTATTTCTTTACAAGAAATTAACAAAAATGTTTTTGAGTATCGTGTTGTTCAAAGAATACTATGTATATTAAGAAAAAAATCCAAAATATAAACCCCGCCCACCCACCCCATCTCAACTGTGATGATTTTTTTATTCTTAGAAACTTAAAACACGTTTAAAATGGTAAATTTTTGTAAGTAAATATGGATTTTGCAATTGGGCTCTGTTCCTAGATTTGGCAACGAATGAAAACTTCATTACTATTAAGATCAGGGCAGGTATGGGTGGGGCTTAATCTTTGGCTATAATTTTTTCGTAATACACATAGTATTTTTTTAATAACACAATACTCAAAAACATGTCTTACATGGTAATTTATTGCACAGAAATAATACGGATTTTACAATTAAATTCTGCTCCTTTGGCTCTCGACGATTAAAAAAAAACATCACAATTGAAATAGGGCGGGTGGGCGGGGCTTATATTTTGTCTTTTTTTCTTAATATACTTATATTGTTGTCGTAGTCGTCTTACCAATTTGTCCCTTTTTTTGGTGCTGAATACTTAATTGTATAGGATTGCATACTCCTGCGTATGTGATCCATGAATCCGTGTCGAGTTTTCACCCTAGACATCCAGATTTTTGGAAAAAAAACCAAAATTGTGTAACGTTTTACGATTTAACTTTGAAATTGTAAAACCAAATGTTTTAAAAACTTAAAAGTTTTTTAAGATTATCATAAGCATGGTACATCGTTAAACAAATTTTTTTCGTTTATAGCCTCCTAAAAATGATGACGCCATTTTATAATTTTGTAGAACAAATGTTTCTTAAATTTTATAGAAGTACATGCTCCATGTATGTGTAATTTAGAATCCGTGTTGAGTTTTTACCCTAGACATCGAGATTTTTGGGAAAATAGTCAAAATTGTATTTTACAATTTAACTTGAAAATTGTAAAAGCGAATGTACTGAAATATTGCAAACAAATCAAAATTTGTTCGTTCCAAAAATATGATGACGTCATCTTTGAATTCTGCCGTTCTTTAAATTTTATAAAATAACATATTCCTGCATGTTGTATAAGAATATTTTACAATGTTACTTTGAAATTGCAAAAAATCGAATCCTGCGAAATCGTACAAATATTTTAAGATTATTTGAAATATCGTAATTCGTTAGTCAAAATTTGTCCGTCATCTTACATTTTTGCCGAATTTCTTTAAATTTATGAATATTTTTGGGGAAAAAACTGAGTGTGAATTAATCAATCAGTGGGTTCCTATGCGTCGAGGACACAAAATCAACCAAATTTCATTTTCTGTTAAACGTTGTTTGTGGTAGTAATCGAATTCGGTCGAAGTATAAACATAAACAGTCGAAGTTAAGCACAGAATCTAATTATATCATTTTTTAAATAAGCGGAAAAAGTACCGCTAAATAAAACAAAAAATTTATGCAGGACACAAAATTCCTCCACTGACAAAAAAAAAGCTGCGACTGAGTTGCGCTTTTAGTGCTCGGCTCCAAAAAAAAACTTTTGAATGAATTTTAAATGAAATCAAATTAAACGTTCTGAATCAATGCAAATATTTGAAAATCACAAATTTCTAGGACAAGCGGAGTTTGGGGCTACCGGTCGTGTCTGTTCTCCCCCGCGACGACAAGCCGTTACGGTTGCAAACTCACGAAGCCGACGGTGTTACGTCATTTTGACCGCCCCTGAATTCTATTCTAACCTGCATCTTTTGTGTAGGTAGCGCGATAAATCTCGCCAGCTCGACTAGAAACCGCGCACTCCGTTTCTGCCACGTACTTCGGTGTTATTTACCTCAATTCCATTTAAATGTTCAATTTTTATGACTCTGATATTAACGACAACTGAACAAGTGTTAAAGTTTCAAAAGAGCAATCAACAACATTTAAATTCGCCGTACAATCTTGTGAAATTTTAAACAACAATTAATTGTTATTTGAGATTAAAATTGGATATCAGATAATTTATATGATGGAGACATTCATCAATAAAACATTTTCGTAAAAAAAAACTAGCTGTGTCTTGATCCGAGTTATTGGTTACTTAAAACAATTAGCTTTGAGAATTTATATATCGCGAACTGCTTACCCCAAACAACACATAATATGATAAATAAAATTTTTAGCGTTGCAAGGGAAGAAATCTTTAATCCCCCCGTCAGTTTACGATATTATGAATGTGTTAATTTAACTGGCGTTAATGAACTATTAGCATCCAGAAACTTACTCATAATTAGACAAACAAAATCGAACGAGTCCTGACCAAGTGAATTTCATGAAAACTCCTAGCTAATGTCTGTTACATTGTATTAGAACCAGTTAACGATTAAAATCATAACACGAACTGTGAATTTACAAACAATGAATTAAATTTACTCTGGTTGGCGTCGTTCAGAAATTCACATGTTTTCTGATTAAAAAGCCACAAGAATTAGCTGCCCGTGTTGAAGGATATTACAGTCATCAAAAGAAATATTAAATACTTATGGGATGAGATGTGTGATTTCGCTGATATATAAAAGAAACAAAAGAGGGCCAGTATTTTGGGAACACCACTATAGTTCGTAGACTAGTTTCACCGTTCTATATTGTATCGAATAGTTGTTGTTTTAATTGTTTATAGTGTTCAACTTTCCTGGTCTTTCAATAATTCAGAAAATTTAGACTACCAGTTTCTTCAGCAAAAATTATTTTGAGTGGTCTCCCATGTATGTGGTATGAATTAATTCGCTCTAATCTAACTATGTACTTTTAAGTATTAGGAAGTTCCGATTTTATACAAATAAGAGAAATACTGAGTCAATCAGAGGTCATTCACCAGAAAAAAATTCCTTGGACCTCTAAGCTAGGTTTTATCGTATAATATTACCTGTAGAACCACCATATCAAAAAATCATTTAAAACAAATTACTAATTTGAGAAAACAAACTAGCTTCATGCTGATACAACATTTAAAATTTATCTTGTTTTCGGAAAATTATTTTATGTTATGTATATTTTTACGCATAGTTCATTGTAGTATGACTAAAACATAAAAACAAACCACAAAACCTGTTCTATAATACATATATAACAACTAATGTTTAGTTTAAATTCTATATATAAAATTTGCATGTTGTTGATTGAAGCTTTACATACGATCAAATAGTAAGCATGTTTTTGCGAACGTACACATAGTCGGAGTTTGTTGACTTGACAGATTCACGCGGAGGTGTAAAATGAATTTTTTGCTATCATCGCATTACTTCCACCAACTTTCTATTTATTATTCATTATTAAAAACACAACCATAAGGAAAAACCGGCTTGCTTTAAGCTGTTGGACGTTGATTTAAGGTACAAGATAAAAGACGAATTTGCGATTCAACACTTCTGATAATTTTATGACCAATAAAAGCAAAAGGATGTTAGCCAAGCACTTGTACATGTATTTTAATCCATACTTCAGTTTTTATGGGAGATATAGACACATTTCAATTTAATTATGACTAATAAATAATTAGCTAATAGGCTAATTAGTTAACAAATTTCAAACAATCTGCATGGTGAAATTAAGGAAATTCAATTTTAAACGAAAAGACGGTTAATAGAACGTAAAAAATTGTGCAACAAAGGAAGAACGCAAAAATTGTCAGCGACTCTATACCTACTTAAAAAAATGTTTCTAGTTTAGAAATAAGGTAGTTGTGCGTTTTAAAAAAGTGTTAGTTTGAATATTGTTAAACATAATGCCTATTTTGCCAAGTTGGACATTCTAACATTATTAATGTTTGTACGACAACATTCAATGTCGTAAATGTAACTCAAAAAGCCTTCAACGCAATTTCCTTCCTTAATTTCGTATTTATGTTTAACGAGTAATTGACATGCGCCAACGGACGTTAAAATCCTTTGTTGCAATAATCTTTTGCAAATATGTATTTATTGACTCTATTTTATAGGATATTTTGCTAAACAAAGAGTTAATGACTTGTTACGTGTTTCATTTTTCATGGAAATTCGTTAAAAAAATATAGACACACCATCGTCGTTACTCATCAAACTCATCACACACAAAACATGAAGACAACTGATTTTATCAGTGCTACAGTTGTGTATTGTTTTTTACTGCCACCTGTGACGAACTGTCTTTCTTAACAAATTATTTGGAAATCATCATTTTAACGATGTCGTTTTCATAAATTTTAAAATTTCCAAAACTTGAAATTCTGGCAATTTTACTTCAAAATTTAATATCAGATTCTTTAACTAGTTGTCGGAATTTTGCTATTCTCTCCACGTAGCTACGTATAAACAATAACAAACAATAACGCTAATGTAAAACCGAAGATGAGTCACATAAAAGCTACACCTACGAATCGAATTCTTTATTGAAAATGATTTCATATGAACTATAGGTCAATATGAAAATTTGTCAGTGTTTATTTCTGAGCACTTACATTCTTTTTCTTTCCAGATACCGTTAAAATGATTATTCGGTGGGAATTAAGTTTAGGACTTCTACTCGTGCTGATTTCTATAGCCATTTCCAAGAAAGGTAAGTTTGTTCAAGAATTTAATTTTGCTTAGGTATATAAAATGGGCTTCTATAATCGTTAGCCATCATTTCCGTTTTCGTGCCAATTTAATAAATGACTCACGTAATGTTATTCGACCTTCGTGGCTATGTTTTGTTATGACATCGTTGTAAAATTTTATAGCACTCAACACACACTACTTTTTTTTTAATTCCAAATTGAAATATATGGTTTCGCTTCTGCTTTTAATACGCTTTCTGACCAAATAAATGTATTTAGTTGTCGATTGTGACATAACACAAATTAGTTACAAAAAGGTTAGTCAAGTAGAATAATTAACAAAAATTGTTTCTTGCGTTTAAATATCACATATTTTATTTCAATTGATAGATTATGTCTAAACCTCTGGGGAAGACACAATATTTTTTAAAGTAAGTGATTGTTTAGTGTTTAATTAATCGTTCATTCTTCGAAGGAAATTCAATTTTTAGACGAGGAGAGAGCATGTTTCGCTTCAACTTTTATATCAGTGCAAAGACAATATTGAGCTCTATGGGGAAGAACCGGTCATTTTTGTTTAAAATTTATATTTATCAAAATATTTGCTGTTTAAAAAAATATTGAATAATGAAAATAACGTGAAAGTAGGCAACCCTATTTACAAAGGATCCGTTTCAATCAATTTCAAGTAATCAGTTCTCTTAGCCGACAAACATTGTTGAAACTCTTTCTACTAAAATATTTTCTTTCAAAAAATTGTTCGAATATTTTTTAATAATTTGTCATTTTAGATATGAATCAATACACAAAACTGACAAGATTTAGCTTCTCATCACTTCACTAACCAGTTATTTACCTGAACAATCACATTTATTTAAATTTAATTTTTTGATACTCTTTTAGGTGTTATTTGAAAATCTACTATCTCCGGAAGTAAGGCATATAAATATTTTTTTTTAGGGGCTCTATCATTTATATGCCCAAAATTTATCGTCTAGTTGAATTATGCAATATTTGAATTTTTTTGTTTAACTAAGAATTCATTCTTTAATTGTGTTTGATACAAACAAAACGTCCTAAATTAGAAATACTAGTGGAATTAGATTTTCTATTAATTTTTGCATATTTTTAGTCACAATTTTGGTAGTTATTTTTTACTTTTACTTTTAGCAATAATAAATAATCCAAACATGAAAAAATTAAAAAAATTAAAATTGGAAAATCTAAAATTGAAAAATCGGATCATTGAAAAATCGAAACATGGAAAAGTTGGAAAATCGAAAAGTTAAAAAAAATGGATAATCGAAAATTTTAAAAATCCCGAAAATTGAAAAATTGAAATATAGAAGATCCGAAACTCGAGAAATTAAAAATCTAGAATTTTAAAAATGGAAAAATTAAAATATCGAAAAGTTGAAAAATTGAGAAATCGAAATATAAAACAGCCGAAAATTGAAAAATCAAAAGCTTAAAAAACGAAAAACTGAAAATCGGAAAATCCAGCTTATAAAATAAAAAAATTGAAAAATCAAAATCCTGAGAAGTTGAAAAATTGAGGAATTGAAGAAGTGAAAAACCGAAACTTTAAAAAAAATGGGAAAATAAAAAAAAGAATGCTTCAGAAATCGGAAACCTGAAAATTTAGAAACGTCAAAATTTGAAAAATTGAAAAAATGAAAAATCGAAAAGTTAAAAAAAGATGGAAAATCGAAAATTTAAAAAATTCCCGAAAATTGAAAAATTGAAATATAGAAGAACCGAAACTCGAGAAATCAAAAATCTAGAATTTTAAAAATGGAAAAATTAAAATATCGAAAAGTTGAAAAATTGAGAAATCGAAAAATAAAACAGCGGAAAATTGAAAAAACCAAAGTTTAAAAAACGAAAAACTGAAAATCGGACAATCCAGCTTATAAAATCAAAAAATTGAAAAATCAAAATCCTGAGAAATTGAAAAATTGAAACATCAAAAACTTGAAAAATCGAAAAATTGAAGAAGTGAAGAAGGGAAAAATCGAAACTGGGAAGAAATGGGAACATAAAAAAAAGACTACTTCAGAAATCGGAAAACTGAAAATTTAGAAACCTCAAAATTTGAAAAAGTCAAAAATTGAAAAATCGATAAGTTAAAAAAAAGATAGAAAGTCGAAAATTTTAAAAATCCCGAAAATTGAAAAATTGAAATATAGAAGAACCGAAACTCGAGAAATCAAAAATCTAGAATTTTAAAAATGGAAAAATTAAAATATTGAAAAGTTGAAAAATTGAGAAATCGAAATATAAAACAGCGGAAAATTGAAAAATCTAAAGTTAAAAAACGAAAAACTGAAAATCGGAAATCCAGCTTATAAACTCAAAAAATTGAAAAATCAAAATCCTGAGAAATTGAAAAATTGAAACATCAAAAACTTGAAAAATCGAAAAATTGAAGAAGTGAAGAAGGGAAAAATCGAAACTGGGAAGAAATGGGAACACAAAAAAAAGATTACTTCAGAAATCGGAAAACTGAAAATTTAGAAACGTCAAGATTTGAAAAATTCAAACATTGAAAAATCGAAAAGTTAAAAAAAAGATGGAAAATCGAAAATTTTAAAAATCCCGAAAATTGAAAAATTGAAATATAGAAGAACCGAAACTCGAGAAATCAAAAATCTAGAATTTTGAAACTGGAAAAACTAAAATATCGAAAAGTTGAAAAATTGAGAAATCGAAATATAAAACAACCTATCATTGAAAAATCGAAAGTTTAAAAAACGAAAAACTGAAAATCGGGGAATCCAGAAGTCGAAAAATCATAAGCTTATAACATCAAAAAACTGAAAAATCAAAATCCTGAGAAATTAAAAATTGAAACATGAAAAACCTGAAAAATCGAAAAAGTGAAGAATCGAAAAAGTGAGAAATCGAAACTTTGAGACGAAATGGGAAAAAAAAAGATCACTTCAGAAATCGGAAAACTAAAAATTTAGAAACATCAAAATTTGAAAAATTCAAAAATTGAAAAATCGAAAAGTTAAAAAAAGATGGAAAGTTAAAAACCTTAAAAATCCCGAAAATTGAAAAATTAAAATGTAGAAGTACCGAAAACTCGAGAAATTAAAAATCTAGAATTTTAAAAATGGAAAAATTAAAATATCGAAAAGTTGAAAAATTGAGAAATCGAAATATAAAACAGCCGAAAATTGAAAAATCCAAAGCTTAAAAAACGAAAAACTGAAAATCGGAAAATCCAGCTTATAAAATAAAAAAATTGAAAAATCAAAATCCTGAGAAGTTGAAAAATTGAGACATCAAAAACCTGAAAAATCGAAAAATTGAGGAATTGAAGAAGTGAAAAACCGAAACTTTAAAAAAAATGGGAAAATAAAAAAAAGAATGCTTCAGAAATCGGAAACCTGAAAATTTAGAAACGTCAAAATTTGAAAAATTGAAAAAATGAAAAATCGAAAAGTTAAAAAAAGATGGAAAATCGAAAATTTTAAAAATCCCGAAAATTGAAAAATTGAAATATAGAACCGAAACTCGAGAAATCAAAAATCTAGAAATTTAAAAATGGAAAAATTAAAATATCGAAAAGTTGAAAAATTGAAAAATCGAAATTTAAACAGCCGAAAATTGAAAAATCTAAAGTTTAAAAAACGAAAAACTGAAAATGGGAAAATCCAGCTTATAAAATCAAAAAATTGAAAAATCAAAATCTTGAGAAATTGAAAAATTGAAACATGAATAACCTCAAAAACCGAAAAATTGAAGAACTTAAGAAGGGAAAAATCGAAACTTTAGGAAGAAATGGGAAAATAAAAAAAAAAAGATTATTTCAGAAATCTGAAAACTGAAAATTTAGAAATGTCAAAATTTGAAAAATTCAAAAATTGAAAAATCGAAAAGTTAAAAAAAAGATGGAAAGTCGAAAATTTTAAAAATTCGGAAAATTAAAAAATGAAATATAGAAGAACGGAAACTCGAGAAATTAAAAATCTAGAATTTTAAAAATGGAAAAATTAAAATATCGAAAAGTTGAAAAATTGAGAACTCGAAATTAAAACAGCCGAAAATTGAAAAATCTAAAGTTAAAAAACGATAAACTGAAAATCGGGAAATCCAGAAGTTGAAATATCGTAAGCTTATAAAATCAAAAAATTGAAAAATCAAAATTCTGAAAAACTGAAAAATTGAAACATCAAAAACCTGAAAAATCGAAAAATTGAAGAATTGAAGAAGTGAAAAATCGAAACTTTGGGAAGAAATGGGAAGATAAAAAAAAAAGACTACTTCGGAAATCGAAAAACTGAAAATTTAGAAACATCAAAATTTGAAAAATTCAAAAATTGAAAAATCGGTAAGTTAAAAAAAGATGAAAAATCGAAAATTATAAAAATCCCGAAAATTGAGAAGAACCGAAACTCGAGAAATCAAAAATCTAGAATTTTAAAAATGGAAAAATTAAAATATCTAAAAGTTGAAAAATTGAGAAATCGAAATATAAAATAGCCGAAAATTGAAAAATCTAAAGTTTAAAAAACGAAAAACTGAGAATCGGAAAATCCAGCTTATAAAATCAAACTGAAAAATCAAAATCCTGAGAAATTGAAAAATTGAAACATCAAAAACCTGAAAAATCGAAAAATTGAAGAACTGAAAAATCGATACTCTGTGAAGAAATGGGAAAATAAAAAAAAGATTACTTCAGAAATCGGAAAACTGAAAATTTAGAAACGTCAAAACTTGAAAATTTCAAAAATTGAAAAATCGAAAAGTTGAAAAAAAGATGGAAAGTCGAAAATTTAAAAAATCCCGAAAATTGAAAAATTGAAATTTAGAAGAACCGAAACTCGAGAAATCAAAAATCCAGAATTTTAAAGACGGAAAAATTAAAATATCGAAAAGTTGAAAAAATGAGAAATCGAAATATAAAACAGCCGAAAATTGAAAAATCTAAAGTTAAAAAACGATAAACTGAAAATCGGGAAATCCAGAAGTCGAAATATCGTAAGCTTATAAAATCAAAAAATTGAAAAAT